GGTTATCATTAAAGCTATTGTCCAAAATAATCTTTGCATACTTTAAATTTTTCAAAAGACTAAAAAATATCAAAAGCATTAGACATAAACTACCAACATAGCTGTCAAAGACTTAGTGAGAATAAATTATCAAGTAAGTAACACACTTAAAAAATCAAAGACATTTTATCTATATATAGGACTATCAATGAAAAAAGGCATGGGAAAATCTGACTTCTTATCTTCATTCTCACTGACAAGGTCATGAGACTTGATTTAGCAATTCTGGCATAAAATCACTTATATGCCAAAATGGGGAAAGAAAGGAAAAAAAGAAAGAAATGGGGAAGGTAAAAAGAACAAAGGTTATCTTTGAAACAGATCTTTATACATTCGGTCTGACTAAAGAAACAAAAAGACACTCTACTTGCCAATAAGCAAACAATAAAATAGCAGATACACACAACTGACCAAATCAACCTTCACACATACCATGATTTGACTTGAGGGCTATGAATTTCTAAGGACACCTGGGAACAAACATGTACTGATGTGGACTAGTATTCCCGTACAATCTTGGGAATAAGCTTATCCTTTGAAAAACTGTCTTGTACGGTTACTGTTGTACATATGAGCATCTTTCTTTCCAACATGCCCCAGTCAAGGAGTAAAATATCCAATAAAGTGCATGGAAATCAGATACCACTAGAAAACCAGATCGTTGACATTTTCTGGGGGAAAAAATGCCATAAAAAATAGCACTGATCCTTGGCAAGAAAAAAATTTTAATCATCATTTTGATATTATCTCAAGATAATAAGAAGGATTTACTGTTTGTTGTTAAACAAATAAATGCCTTTCATACAAACAGTTTTCTAGGCCCTATGTTATAAATAGAACTGTCCCTTACCTCCCACCATGCCTACATTGAAGCCCTAGTCCCAGTGTGATGGTGTTTGGAACTGGGACCTTTAGGAGGTAATTAGGTATAGATGAGGTCTTGAGGGTGGGGCCCTTATAGGGATTAGAACCTTTTCAAGAAGAGACACCAGAGAACTTTTTCTCTCTACCACGTGAACACACAGGAAGAAAATGGCTGTTTGCAAAGAGAATACAGCCCTCATCAGAAACCAAAATAACTGGGACTCTGACCTTGACTTTCCAGCTCTAGATATGAAGAAATATATTTCTGTTGTTTAAGCCATTTTATTTAAGATATTCCACAATGTCATCCTAATATGACTAATACACCATATAAATGGAGATGGGAAAGTTCCAAGAAGGGACTTTTCTGCTTCATCTATATTAATATGGAGGATACGACAATCACATGCAGCAAACTGAGCTTCCAGTTTGGGAAGTGGAGAATGCCTTACTCTACCCCAGATGTAATCATAATAGAATAGAGGTAGGAGAGCTCTATCATCTCATTTTCCTACCTCATATTAAATGTCAAAAGCAAAGACTTTAGACAAGAGTGTCAGAACCATGACAGTGAACTTGGAGCTCTAATTTCCTCTTTATGGCATAAGCAGTGTTGTAGTTGGTATATTTGACACCAACAGTCTTCTGTAAGCACTGAATGTGTGATCCACAGATGCCATTTTGGACATCAGACCACAAGATATGTCTGGATAATAATTGCTTACAGAATGTCTTAGCAGTAGGAAAAGCAGAGATGAAAACGACCTGATAAATTCTCAGGGGTTTTCTCTCTCCAAAGCCTGACTGACAGACCTGCCACAGAAAGCAGCTGATTGGAGGTCTTTACAGTAATGGGCCTGTCAGGAACTTGATCTATTTCAACATGAAAACTGGTGCACAAATCAATAATGAGACAGCAAATCAAATCATTATCAGACTAGAATACCATTCCTGTGAGCAGGTTAATTTTGTTCACAGGAGGGTCTGATAGCAGTTAAGCTGGAGAAATTACATTGGAAGCATTAACTTTGGAAAAAAGAAAAAAGAAAAAAGAAACAGTGGTCTTGGTTTAAACAGGAACTGAGGCAGTGATATAAATGAACAAATTTACAATAAATATCTCAAGAAAGGTTTAATCAGAGATAAGATTACATGTAGTGCAGGAGAATTCTGGGTAAGATGTACTGTGATTAAGACTAATATTCTTAT